TGTTACTATTTAATTGTTGAACTTCCATAAAATACTTAAAATTGAAAATGAAAATAATATTATTTACTTATAAGAAATTTGTAATATAAGTCGTTCACCTCAAAATTTGAAAATAAAATGGAATTTTCTTTTACCTTATACAAGCATATAAATAGTTTATTTATTATACTTTATTTCAATTTACATGATAATTAGTAAACAAATATCCAATTAAATAAAACTGTGATTGTAGTAGTTTTGAACTATATTTTATTTTGACAAAAATATTTAATTATAATTTGAGGTTATGTACGTGTATTTTTATCACTCTTTTTGTTTTCCAATAATTAATCAGAATTAAATTTATATAAACTTTCAAATTAAACATAACATATACAATATTCATTGCAGTTTAATCCATTATTTTCTAAAAATAATATACAAAAATATCTGAATATAAATATCAATTTGTCGACTTGTATACTTGCATTTGAAATTCGCGGCAAGTTGCTGCGCAAACGTGCAAAACACGTGTTGCGACGTTGCCACGTTTTCATGTCTGCTACACTTACTATTATTATTATGACAAAAAATCAAACTTTATTATTTATTTACTCAAAAACTATGTGGTAAATTTTCTTTATATTGTGCAGTTAATAAATTTATCATATTTTTTCCTGTATATACCAACTTTCAGATTTTTGTGTCATTTCCATCACACTTTTTTCCTTTGGTTTATACACGTTCCCATAAGAGCCCATGTTAAATTATGGTCATATATTTTATTTTTTTTTCTAAAAAACTACGTGGTAAAAAATTCTGAAAAAAATCATAACTTCCTAAATCAATCTAATGAACAAAATGAGAAAATTTGGTAAGTCTGTGTCATTTCCTTATATTGCCAGGGAGAATCCTTAAAGGATTTTTCGAAAACAACAGCAATGTTAGAAATGAAAAATAATGGTTTTATTTTTTCTGACTAGAATAACAAAAATTTTCAGCAACAGAATGAGATTTAGAATATTTTTCGGTTATCAATTCATGTTAACGGTTATATTTTTACTATCCCAGTCGAAAATCCTCCGCTATGTTAAGCTGCACAAAAAGTTGTTTTGAAGTATTGAGATAACCATTAGAGAATTGTGAGACAGTAGATAACTAGCTATAGAAAACTTTCAGGAAGCCTGTTATGGCCGATTTTTCGCTTCCACGGAAAGCTTGAAAATAACAAATTTTGTACGTTTTAAACAAAGCATTCAAGTAGCTTTGAGAGAGTTATCAAAGAGTTGCAGGATTTTGCATATATAAAAAGAAAGCGTTCAGGTGGCGAAAATTAAATGAAGCGTCATGGATGTTTCAGGAAACAGAGAAAAATGACAATGATCAAAAATTAAATTTAACCTTTCTTTCCATCTTTATTTATCTCGTAAAAATATGATGTATTAGATTATTATATTTAAATATTGAAGAATTAAAGAAAAATTATTTACGTCAGACTCGGTATTTCCACAGTCTTTTTAAAAGGGTACAATTGTTTTATAAAATATCTATTAGTGATATTAAATACTTTTTTTTAAATTAATTATTATCTTCTTTCAATTAAAAGTTAGTTGTCAATTAATTTTCTATAGTGAAATTACACAATTAATATTGATTAATAATTTAATGTTTCATGTAGAATACTTTTAAAAATTTGTAAATAAAAATACGCTGTTAAATTCATTTTCATAAATTATGAAATTCTAAAAGAATAAAGAATATATTATTTATAAAAAATATTCATAAATATCAAGTATAAAAATAATAATCTTTTTTTTTAAATAATAAATATTTTGTCTTTTTTTTAAGAAATTGTATTCATTATTCAATATAAAAAGTTTTCACCGTGTTCGTATTCCTAACCCCAAATTTTTCTCAAGTTATATATAATTTTTTTCGTATATAATTTAAGTGTTTAAAAATAAACGTTTTCTTTGAAAAATAATTTTTATATAATATATAAAGAATAATTATTAATTGTATAAAACGGATTTACAAATTACTATAGAATTTTTATGATTTTTCGATTTAGTTTAATTTAATGAAATTATTCTAGTTTTCAGGAAGTGTAAAAAAGGTAATTAAATTACATATTAATTTGCAACTTGTGAAAAGCAAATAGAATTGCTTTCTTACACATTAAACCAGGCATTAGGAAAGCATTCACCAAGCAAACTGGTAGACCTTTTGCTAGAAGCTGTCCACAGATATTCAACAAGCTGTAGAAAAAGCTTCCCGTTAAGAAGTCAGAAAGCAAATATCACAGAATTTTAGGTCTAATGTATAAATAGTTGCCATGAAGCTTTTGAAACCTTCATAACAGTTACCTGAAGGCCATGTGAACCCTTCAGGGAAACTTACGATTTTCGACTGGGATATATATTGTATATGGAGAGCTAAACGTTTTTTATATGTGTTCAGAAAAACAAGATATAAATTAAGGTGATTTCTTTTAAATACACAATTTATAAACACACTATACCCTGATATGTTTTTACCGCTCCAAAAGGAACACACTTACCAAAGATACGAGAAGCCCGAAACCTATAAATAAATGGCACAATATAACCAGCGATAACCAATAAATAAGAAACACAAAATGCGGATGCGATACACCTAATAATGACTCTACTACTGAACACGGAAATCGGCTAGGGGGTGGAAATGGAAGGACATAAAACGAGGCAGATAAGCCAAGTGTGTGTAAGAGAGAAAAGAGAGAGAGAGAAAGATAAAATGGTTGGTTTGGATCGAGAGAGAGAGAGAAAGAGTAGAAGGAGCAAGAGGTTATTGCAGGCATAGGCGATGCCGATATATAACCGAATAAGAAAATCTAACGAGACTGCACTAGGAGATATTCTGGGGTTGGGATGGTCGAGGCCTGAGGGCATGGGGTGGTTATCCAACGTTCCCTCTTCCCAAGCTTTTCTAAAACGTCGTAATTGGAACTGCGTATACCAACACGTAGGAATGTCTATACACTTGTGTGAGTGTACGTGAAAATATCGACCCCACCATGCCTGCAATAACCACACCACACTGGCGTATATATACCATGGCACATGGAATCTCTCTGTAGATGCCCTCCCATTGCCTTCAACCCACGACGACGACGACGACTACGACGACGAGGGTTCTGTTATACTGAGGATGGGAGGGACTTTTTTTAGAGAAAGAGAGAAAGAGGACTACGGAGACAGAAAATTGTACATCCCACCCAGATAAGCTGTCGAGAAACGAGTCCCGTGAAACTTGACCCCCTTGCCCCCCTTCCATCCAACGAATATTCCAGGGGGTAATAAGCGCGAAAAAGTTTCTCTCCTTGGCGCGCGAAAAGCCATTGTATATTTATTCCTTCTATATGAATTCAGTTGTGTTCAACCCCTTCGACCCTCTTTCTAAATGTATATATATAGTTGTGAATTTTTCAAAGATTTCTTCTTTGAATATATATTTTTTGACCGCCAATGCGTTTATTATGGATATCGTTTTTTAAATTTAGTGTTCTAAATGAATTTTTAAAGCTTTTTCCGTCATATTGGATCCGACATTTTGAATTTTTAAAAACTGACATCAGATTCGTAATCAGCGACCCCGAATACCCCCGAGTAATAAGTTTCAAATGAATCCAATTAATTTTTGAAAATTCGTCCGCCATATTGGATCCGCTATTTTGAATTTTTAAAAATTGACATCAGATTCGTAATCAGCGACCCCGAAAACCCCCGAGTAACCTGTTTCAAACGAATCCAATTAATTTTTGAAAATTCGTCCGCCATATTGGATCCGCCATTTTGAATTTTTAAAAACTGACATCAGATTCGTAATCAGCGACCCCGAATACCCCCGAGTAATAAGTTTCAAATGAATCCAATTAATTTTTGAAAATTCGTCCGCCATATTGGATCCGCTATTTTGAATTTTTAAAAATAGATTGCAAATTTGTAATCAGCGACCCTAAAAAACCCCCATTAGAACGTTTGGCGTTTTAATCAATCTTTTTTAAAAATCTATGTTGCAAAGGGTTAATTATAAATAAACAAAATTTAAATGTTGCACACTTTTAATTAAATATTTTTTATGTATTATCAATTAATGCAATCAATAATTTATTGTCACACAATATCTTAATTACCAGATAACATTTGGTTGGTTTCCATTTGTTTCCACTCGCCATTTGTCATAATTCTCATCAACTACCGCACCATGCTCTAGTGAAAATTTAGTGACTTTATAGGTAAAATTAAAAGTTACTATAAAGTTACTAAATTTTCACGAGAACAGGGTGCGGTAGTTAATGAGAATTATGACAAATAGCAAGTGGGGGACAATGGAAACCAACTATTTGTAAATAAACAGGGTTGGGATGCAAGAATCCAAAATATGTTTGTCCAAAGCAGAGTTAGGTAGGATTGAAATATCCAACAATAATTTTCGGAAAGTGTACGTATTGTAAACACAGCCTAATTAAATACATTTCCGAAAATTATTGTTGGACAAAATTTCAATCCTACCCAACTTTGCTATGGACGAACATATGTTGGACTCTTGTTTCCTAATTCTGTTTCTTTACAAATGTCATCTGATATTCTGTGACAGAAAGTTTCTAATAATTGGCATGAAAAATATTTATCAAGTGCAATGTTTAAATATTTTGTTAATTTACAATTAAATTATTAAATTGTTGATAATCATTTGAATCATAAAAATAATTTAAAATTTTCAAGTGCTGTAATTATGAATTTTATCATAATCTCCCTTTTATTTCTGTTCAAAATTATTGTATGCAGACAAAATTATTTAGTAGTCCACAATTAATTAAACGGGCTCTCACGTTTGGAGTTCCAAAAGAGGTGAAATTTCACAACTTGCCTTTTCTCTGTAAATAAATTTTTAAGTTATTCAAATCATCTCTTGACTAGTAATAAAATCCTTTTATTAAATTTTTTTTACAAAATATAATATTTATTAATTATTTTATATATAATGTATACATTTATTATTAACTAAAATATTATTATATAATAAAATTGCATTTTATTCTGAAAACATTGCTTTCGGATATAAATAATAGGACTTGTCGAGAAGCAAATTTCCATTTAGGTTGGGTGTTGAAATATTCATTCCCCTCTACAATCCTGAGATCAGGGGGGTTCACGCATGCTTTTGAAAAGCAGCAGAGACATTTTTTTTTAATGTTTATCTTCATTTATATTTTCATATATATATATATATAGTTATAGATTGACGTCAAAACATTGAAATAATATTATGAAGCACAAAATATATTATTAATATAATAATAAACATTATGTTTCATTGTATAAATATTAAAATCTATATCGTTTAAAAAATATCGTCTAAGGTGCATGAATTTGTGTGTACAATATCACTATTTGGCTATAAAGGCAGTAAATATCTATAATATACAGTAATAAATATTGTCAAAAACCATACAAAGTATAATTAATTATTTTTTCTATTTGAAACTATTTTCACGCTCACTATCAGATCTTATAAGTAAAAAAAAAGGTCTGCTCTGCATAAAAAATAATAATCACTAAATTTTTCTCTACAATTGTGGAACCGATAAAAAAAAATACTGAAAATAGAATAATTTAATAAAAAAATATTAAAATTTCTAATCAATGTCTATGAGTACTACTACTTTCGTTATCTATAAACGTTTTTAATTCACAATTGTCCACTTTTGATTCCATCATATTCTTCGTTTCAATTTTTAATCTTAATACTGGATTTTGTATAGCTTGAATTTCCTCCAAAGTTCGTCCTCTCGTTTCAGGTAGAATCAAATAAATAATAATAGCCCCTGTTATAATGAGTATTGAATACAAGAAAAATGTTGTATATATACCATAATTATTTGTTACTGGCTCGTACACAGCTGATGTGATGAAACTAAAAGCAGGTCCTATAATCATTCCACTAGCAACCATAGGACCCTTAATACTTATAGGAAAAAGTTCTCCAATTATAATATATGGCAGTGGACTCACACCAAATGAGCCTATCACATCGTAAGACGTTAAAGCCACTAATGGTACCCAAGCAAAATTACTGACATCAACATCAATATATAATTTCAATAAAAAGAAAAAAGCCACCACTGCTAAACAAACACCATCTAAAATTGCAGTTGTCAAAAAAAGTGATTTTCTATTAAATCGATCGATTATTCCCGTTGCAGCAACACAAGCAAGAAATAGCATTCCATTTCTAATCATTACTTGTGTTCCTGGTTTCAAGGGCAATGGACTCATGGCAAATATTTCATGAGCATAAGAAGCAGTAGCATATCTTCCCGATAAGCATTCAGTAGCCTCTAAAACAAGAATAATACAAACACCTTTACGATTATTACTATTGGTAACAACTTTCCAAAATCCCGCTGTACTTGCTTTTTGATCTTCAACAATAGCCAATTTCATCATTTCCATATCGGATATTAAAACATCGGTTGTTGTTGATTTTCTCAATTTTTTTAAACAACTCATTGCATCAATATCGCGACCCTTCATTAAATAATAATGGGGCGTTTCCGGAAGTATAAGAAATATTAACAACGATAATATAGTTACAAAAATTGACATATAATTTAATGTATCATATGACCAGTACGCTGCAATTGCTGTAAATATAAATACACCAATATAATTTGCAATCACCATTATATTAACAAGAATACCCCTGACATTTTTCTCAGCAATTTCACTTAAATAAATGATTAATGTGGAATAAACGCCACCCTCACCAACGCCACCCAAAAATCGAGCTATATAAAAGAATAAAGGATGTTTAGCGTAGATGATTAAACACCATCCTATTAATTCGGGAATAGTAAATGCCAATAGTGTATATTTTCTGCCAATTCGATCAATGAGGGAGAAATTTAATAAACTTCCTACTAGATCGCCTGCATAGTATAGGGACACTATCCACATTGCATCATTGTCTGTTACTCGTATTTGTGCCTCTTTACTTTTTAGATGAGCAATTGCTGGTGATGGCCAGGCTTGGTAAGCTCCACAAACAATTGCCGACAGTGAAGCTGCAACAAAAAATTGTTTCAAATTAAAGCATTTTGAACTGCAGTAAAAATGAGAATAGGTTTTTTCTGTGTTATGGATTTTTTCAATCTTGGTTAGAGAATTGTTTTTGGACTAATTCGTAATTAGTTTGAAATAGACTGGTGTATGGTTAGGTTTTTGTCATCCTGAATTAGTCCATTTAAGATCGAAAATTTGTGTAACTAATGAATTCGGAATTAGTTAGGTCCAATTCGAACTTCGTTTGATTAAACGTAATTAGTGAATGCAGATTCTGGATTTAATATAGTTATTCAAACCGGATTAATTTCGGACTCAGCAGGAATAATTCTCTATCAGGAATAATTCACTCCTGATATGATCTGGTTCCGGATTTTCTAGTTACACAAATAATATACTAATTTCGGACTTAATCTGACTAATTACAGACAACACAGCAAAAAAAAGGTGGGTAAAAAGTTGTAAAGATAGAGGATAAAAGTCGTTAGGATACAGGGTAAAGGATAAATTTGTGATGGATAAAAATGTTACTAAAATATTACTAGAAAAATGGATGTCATATTTGATACTTTAAACACGGAAAACGCTTGTTGACATATAATAAAATTAAAATGTGTGTTGATAATTAATTTTGTTATATATTTGATTCATTTGCATTGATAGATTATCTGAATTCGTGATAAAATATAAATATTGAGGTTAGAAAAGTTTGTTTACTAATCACATTTTACATTTTAACATTATTAAACAATATCCAGTATGCATGTTATTAAAAAAGATATAAAATATATATTTTAAGTGGGAATTACCGCAGCAGTAAAAGATTTCAAGTTAGTAAACAAACACCCCTAACCTCAAAATTTATATTTTATCACGAATTCAGAGAATCTATAAATGCAATTGAATCAAATATATAACAAAATTAATTATCAACACACATTTTAATTTTATTATATGTCAACAAGCGTTTTCCATGTTCAAAGTATGAATAAAATTGATGAAAGTGGAAACTAATTTTCTTCCCCATAAGAATAACATTGTGTCGTCTGTTTGTTGTCCCTCCAGGCCTCTGACGTCATATCTTGAACTCGAAATATCTCGATGAACTGACACAGCCTAATATGCACAAAAAATTTAGTTACTACCCAACTCTGCTTTCGTGCAACAATACAGACGTTGAGTTGTAATTTCCCAGTTCTGATTATTTACGTACTGTCGTCAGCTGTCAGTTGTATTAGTCAAAGATATTTTTATTAATAGACAATAATTATAGGGAAAATATTTCCACGTGCAATTACTTATTTATATAAAATTTGTGGATTTAATAAGTTAAGTGTAAAATTACTAATATTTTTATTAAAATTAGACAGTTTACTCAAATATCATATTTTTCTAGTAATATTTTAGTAACATTTTTATCCATCACAAATTTATCCTTTACCCTGTATCCTAACGACTTTTATTCTCTATCTTTACAACTTTTTACCCACCTTTTTTTCCTGTGTAACAGAAACCTGATTATAAATTGAAATAATACCAGGGCCGGGATTACGACAAGCAATACTGCTAAGTTAGCAAACTGCTAGTTACCAATGTCAGTTATATTCACGCTGGAAAAAAATATTGCTACCGGGTGTTCGATAAAATTCTAATCATTTGACAGATTTAGGTTAACCTATGAATTATTTACAGAAAAATACACACTTAAAAACTATATTAATTGATAAGAATAGAAACATTTGATTCCATATTAATTCAAAAAAAAGACTTTAAACATTTCATTTCATAAATATTGTTTATATGATAGTATTAATATAATTATTTTTATTTAATAAATAATAATAATATTTTCGAGAAACATTTCATTATGATTATTTATAATTTATTTTTTATTATGGTTTAATATATTTAATTGAATAATTATTTCATTTTGATTCTTTTACGTTTTCATTTAATTATTTATTATTTAATCCTCTATTTTATTGTACTTATAATAATTAATATCTTATAAATGATTAACATTTTTCTTGCTACCCTGTATATGATTAAGCAATTGAAATGGTTATATTGCATGAAATCTTTCAATTGTTTTCATGCTCACTGCTATCAATCCCAGCAATTTGACAAAACTTTGGTGTCAATTTGCTCGTTTTTTAGGTTAACTTGATTTTAATTTCTATTGTATAAGCTTGTACTTAATTTTTTTTACCAAATAGCAATAAAATGTGATTGTGGGATAAATTTCCTACAAATGTCATGAAATTTTGTTAAGTTATATTTGCTAATTAGCAATAATTGCTAACTTAGCCGCATTGATAGTCGTAATCCCGGCCCTGATTTGTACATATACAGACTTTTAATCGATTTTTGACTTTAAATTCGAATTCGTTACATATAGATTTTCGATTATTTTGGATTATTTTTTAATTAAGATTTTTGTGCTGAAAAATATTGACTGACTAATACCGGATTTTTTACATAGAAATTTCAGATTATTTCGAATTCAGTTTTTTGATAGTATATACTGAATCCGGATTGTTGCATATACTGTTGGCGAATAGTTTACATAAAAATTTCGAATTATTCTGAAATTTTTGATCAAACTAAATTGAGTTTGTTGCGGATTTATTGCGAATTAATTTAATGTCAATTCCGGACTAATCGGATTTTCAGATTGTTTTCCTATAATTTCCGGACTAATCCGGATTGATCTTTTTGAATTTAATGAGGAATTATTTCAAAATTTTAGTCAAGGAATGTTATAAAAACACATTTCTTAACGTTTCGACACAAAATACTATTCTTATCGGAACTTAAATTTATTTAACTATTACCATACGTAGAAAAAATATTGGAATGTTTCTTGAGTCGGATATAGCAACATTTTTAAAAAAACATTATTGTAACATTAAGTTGAAATTTTGCAAAATATTACTACAAAATGTGTTACAAAATTATTATTTTACAATAGGGACAATGTATTATAATACAACTAATAAAATATATAAAAAAAAATATTTTACTAATTTTCTCGTTATCTTTCAATGTCATAGATAAAAAAGATATAAGAAAAATTTTACGGTATTTATTAAATAAAATAAAAAAAAAATTGTCAGTATGAAAATATTATTATGAAATGTTTTTTCTACATACGAAAAGAAATATTCTATACAGAATCCGCAGTGTTGTTATTGAAACGTATGCCGGAAATTTTAAATCAATCAATAAAATTGGCCTGAGGTAAAAAAGAATTCTGTAGAATATAAAATAAATATCATTCTTTAAATAAAAATTAAATCAAAATATTTTTTTTTAATATTCCAGTATTAATTTTCAGTGTATAATATTTTTAAGCGTAATATATAAAGTTGAATATTATTTAATTAAAGCTGATAAATTTATAATTAATATTGTATTAAGTAATTCCAATTGTAACTGCTCTAGAAATAAATTAATCTTTTGTTTAATTATTGTTTTAACTTTTATCTGTTAATATTAAATGACATAAATTTTTTTATTTCAAAAAAAATTATTTTTTTCCATTATTATATTAAGAAAGTGAAATCTAAATCTAAAATGGATTAAATGTAAATTTTTAACAATTATAATTAATTAAAATATTGTACTAATAAACATTCTATTTAATATTTAATTATTTATTCATTTTATTAAATTATATTTTCTTTCTCATTACAATAAAATTTTAGAAAAAAATATATTCTAAAATCAAGAATCAAATTAAATTATACTTAATAATTATTATATTAATTTAAATAGTTAATTCAATATAAAAATAAATTTTTAATTACTTTTTTTAAACTTTAATGGAAAAATATATTTGTAAAATTATTGTGAATTAAATAATTATTTTCAGTTTATCTTATTATGAAAGACAGACTTCGTACACTCATGTTTTATATTATCACTTCTAACCTATAATCTATACTATATTTAATAATATTTCCCGACTGCAAATTGAAACTTACCACAAATTCCAAAAACAAATTGCACAATTTCACTTTTTTTCTCACTAATTGATAATTCAACTATTTTTTCGTTGGTTATATCCATTCTTTGTTAAAAGTCTCTCTCTTTTAAATCTTACTATTATTAAATATTTGGAATCATGAGTTGTGTATTATTATTAATCAAACTACTTAGAACATACATACTGCAGAAGAAACGAACGATAAAATAAATTTTCACTATCAATGTCGTGTGATATCTAATCTAAAGTGACGCTTAATCCGATATCAAAATCATTTCTATACTCTTCTCTACATTTATTCTAAAGATGCTTATAATTGTCTTTTAAATGCATTCTAATTTTATATTATACATTACATATATAAATAAAATAAAAAATTAATAGTAATTTATTTATGTCAAATATGAAAAAAAAAAATGTCTAACCATTTCTCACGTTAGTGTGACGTAAATATTACTGAATATAAATAAATTAATAATTGCATATTTTACAAGTAAAATAATTATTAACAATATAATGTTTACAGTTAAACAACATAAATAATTAGATAATAAATATTTTAGAAACTTATAATAATTGAATGTTAATAAAAATAATTGAATAACATTATAAGTAACACTTGTTTACAATAATTTTTAATAACCAATTGAATTAAACTAAATAAAATCGAGAATTATTTTGGGGAATTTTATAAGTTTATAGAGGTAGGTATGATTTAAATATTATTATAAAATTATTATGTCATTTAGGACATAATACTTTATTATATAAATCTTATGTCTATATGTATATTTTCTTATTACATATATATTTTTTTTCTTTTTTTTTTAGGAAAAATAAACGATTTATTTTAAAAGTCTTTGTTTTTCTTTAAATTGGTCGAGTGGTTTTCAAGCAAAATGGGAGTTTCAAACTAGAAAATTAAATAAACTTTTAACTTTATACGTAAACATGAAAAAAACTGTATTTTATATAGAAAATAAACAGATTTAATTTACTTGAATTTTTTTTTTTATATACGCTGAAAAGTTTGAAAAAAAATGAAGGAGTATTTAATTTTATGTTTCCTCGTTACCTCTCTGACGTACTAAAAAAATATTAACACAATATTCAATGTAATAAAGAATGCACTATAAACTTTAGTTGGAAATTTATATATTTAACTTTTGATGCGAGTTATATATTAGTTTTTACTCTCAATTGTAGAATTTTTAATTAGAAGAAAATTATAAATTAAAAAAATTTATTTTAATATTATATATATATTTAATAAATAATAAAAAAAATACTTATTAATATTATTTTTATTATTATTGTATTATTATATGACTTGATATATATATAATAACATTTGAAACATTGTTAAGGCCAGGTCCAAGTGAGGCAGCGCCATCTACATTGATACTAAAATTTTGGAAAATTTTCAACAGCCTTTTTTTGAAAACAAGATGGTAAAATGCTTTTTCCTTTATAGATAATTGATTATTGGCAAGATAAACACCAGCTAAAATTTTTTTTGAGTTAAAATAATAAAAAAAATTTCATGTCAATAAATTAAATATGAGCACTTTTTTCACAAAAACTGTAACAGTACTTTCTCAGAAATTACAATCAAAAATGCAATTTCCATTTGGAAAATTAATAAACGCTAAAAAATACACGACCTAAGATTTACCAATCACGAAAATAACAAAAAAAAATTTTATTAAATATTTAACATATTGATACTGCTTTACTGATTGTGACAGCCCTTTGGTAGATTATGTATTTCAGGTGGTTAGCAACAGCGCCAATCTCCTCCTTTCGGCAAATCTGCGAAACGTCTGGTGACATAAATAACCTGCCAAACGGCTGTCATAATGAGTAAAATATGTTATGTTAAAATACTTTTTTTTTGTTATTTTCGTGATTGGTAAATCTTAGGTCGTGTATTTTTTTAGCGTTTATTAATTTTCCAAATGGAAATTGCATTTTTTAATGTAATTTCTGAGAAAGTACTGTTACAGTTTTTGTGAAAAAAGTGCTCATATTTAATTTATTGACATGAAATTTTTTTTATTATTTTAACTCAAAAAAAGTTTTAGCTAGTGTATATCTTGCTAATAATCAATTATCCATAAAGGAAAAAGCATTTTACCTTCTTGTTTTCAAGAAAAGGCTGCTGAAAATTTTCCAAAATTTTAGTTTCAATGTAGATGGCGCTGCCTCACTTGGACCTGGCCTTAATGTTTCAAATTGCGATAAAATACATTTTTTAAAACGTTTTGTTGATTATAATTGAAAATTATAAATCAATTTTTAATTTTGGTTTTTAAAGACAAAAAAAGTTTTTTTAAAAAAATAATTTTTATAATTTTTTTTTTTAATGCACCAATATCTTGGGATAGAAGGAAAAATTTTAACATTTATTGTGACAAAGTTCATATTTCAAATCATTATCGAAAAATTTTTTTTCTGATTTTAACTTTTATTTTTGCAAAAACTAAACTCGATTTTTTCTTTTGTATTGAATGTCTATTTTAAAAAATCGTTACATAAGTGTTTTATTAATGGTAGATAACTATTTTTGTTCGCCTTAGATCATACTATATCACCAGAGTTTTAATAGGAAAAACCCAATAATAAATATTTTGACTCATTTGTCAATTTCTACAAGATCGATTGGCTTTATTTAGCTCACCGCTTGTAGGTCCTTAGATAGGACAAGTAAAAACCTGTAAAAAATGACATGAATTAGATATAATAGTATGTTTATTTTAATTAATCTGATTATTATCAATAATAATAATTATTTATTATATTATTAGTCATAGAAACATGATATTTTTAAAGAGAAATAATTTCTGAATTTTTGCTTTTAATGACCAAGAAAATGTTTATTTCAACAAAACGATTTGTAGTTTTAAAAAGAAATATACAAGTGATTTCGATAAAAATCTGCAATAAACGTGACCTTTTGCAGAGAAGAGTATAACTGAACATAGAGTTCACTATCGGAAGATCAATAACTCGTTAACTGCCATTTACTGCTTTATCACTTGGTTTGGGACAATATAAAAGGATCGTTGCTCCTCAGCCTGTTACCACAAAAAAAACTGATATAAAAAAAAAACTTAAATTGTGTTTACTGTTAATACTTCAAACAGTATATGAACAATGCGTTAAAAAATAGGTGACATCACGTACCTGTAAACGTGATAAAATCTACAATTTTCCTGTTATTAATTCTCTCAATTTCATTTTCGTTCATTTCTGAATTTAAATTTTTGATAAATTGATAAAAATTCAAAAATAGATAGTATAAAATCATTGCGATGATAAAATATCACCACTAAATAATTTTTAGAATTAAACCTGAATTTGAGGTTATGTTTTAAGTTTATTATAATCTTCATTTTGAGGTTATTTTTATGTTTGTTTGGTTTTTAGGCCCTAAACTTTGACCTAATTTTGAGATTATGTTTTTAGGTTTCTTTAAATTATGAATCTGAATTTTAATTTAATTTTGAGATTATGTTTTTAGGTTTGTTGCGTTTTTAAGCCAATAGAACTTTGACCTAATTTTAAAGTTATGTTTTCAAGTGTGTTCGTGGTTATAGGCCCCCCCCCTCTCCTTATCTCTCATCCTTCTCTCAAAACTTTCTGATTCTCAGTAATGTTGAAATCTTATTTTTATAATACTCTCTAAATCAAAATTAGTAAAAATTTTAATTTGAATTAGTGACTCAATTTTTGCTTTGAAATTAATTATATTTTACTATTTCGATAGTAAAATTTTTTTTACTTTAGTTAAATTTTATTAATTCAATAGCAAAAAGTGATTCACTAATTCAAATATAATTTTTCACTAATTCAGATTTAGAGATTATGTGACTTTTAACGAGAAAAAGGACTTTAGAGACAACAGATTTTAGATTATGTATTTGATTTTTGAATTGAAAATGCACAAAGAGAATTAACTTTTAATACAAATCAATGACGTTAATATATCTTCATTGGATACAAAAAATTCAATGGAAACTGATTTTTATTAAAATTAAACGTTTAATCAAGCTAAAAATATCACTAAACATAATAACCTACAATTTTTTTGCCTTAAGGTCTCTTTTTTTTATTAGGTTTATGAAATATTGTTATTTTCTTTACATCATTTGTACTATAAAAAATTTTTGAACATAACTAATTATAACGATTATAAGGTCTCAATATTTCTAAAAACTATTTTTTTTTTAATTACTCGAAACTGTATTTAGGCTTGATATATATAATTAGTGAGCTTTCGAAGTTTGAAGGCATTCACCTAACAAAAGCCGTATGCTGTTATTCCATTCTGTTGTTGAAGGCAAGAGCACTGAGGCTATATGTATATAGCTACCTAAGACAAACACATGGGTGATCCAAGATCACTGATGCCTATTCACCAAACTGAAGCACGGCATATGTAAATGATTCGTTTGTTAAAGCATCATCGGTGAGATAATCCAGGTTACAACAATCATATATAGTCATGTGATTCCGGAAGCTCAGCGTTTGTGATCTTTGAATATATATAGTTTTAAAAAATTTTACTTGACCTTAAAATTATTATAATCAACTTAAAAAAAATTTTTAAACGAATCCATTGAACTATTTATGTACTTTTTACGATGCTTAAGTCAACAACGCTTATGATCAACGATTAGAAAACAAATTATTTTTTTAAACAGAAAATTATAAAATTTTTTATTTTTAAATTTGTTTCAAAATTTTTTGATTAATAAACATTGTTGAGAAAATATTTTTGAGACGAAAATTCATAGAATTTTTTCTGCAATAAAATATATCTATTAAAATTGAGGCTCCGGATCTTATTAAAAAGGTTTAAATTTACATCACAAGTTTTTAGCCTCTGGTTTAAAAATTTTTAAATGTTCAATGTCAAATACCAACGATAACAATCAACTGTTGAAATTTGATAATGAAAAATTTCAAAATTTTAACTCCAGGGGGTCGATTACGTAACTTTCCCACTTCCCACATCCCACTTCCCATTTCCCACATCCCACATCTCACTTCCCACATTTTACATCCCACATCTCACTTCCTACATTTTACATCCCACTTCCCACATTTTACATCCCACTTCCCACATTTTACATCCCACTTCCCACATCCCATATTTCACATCTCACTTCTCACTTCCCATATTTCATATCCCACTTCCAATATGTCACACCCCACTTCCC